TCGTGTTCGTGTTCGCTCGTTCGTGAGCACGGATAAAGGTACGCCGACCGCGTGTGACAAGAAACGAGTCGAAGACCCGGTAACGTCGTCTGACCGAAACAGCCCGTCGTCTTCGACTCGCTTCATTCGATCATCCTGCAAATCCTCCAATAATCGCCCTTTTTATTATACTCCAGCAACACGGTGGCCACTTTGCCAACAATTTGCTTTTGGGGTTTGCATACTCCTTACCACAGTACTATAACGATATAAGAATAATAGAGTTAATGAAATGGGAGCTTCACAGAGGGTCATTTCAACCCCTAAATATAGTAATTCGTATCTTCGAGTGTTTCTTAAATTTTTGTAACCTTTTGAAAATGAACATTTTCGCCATCTAATTCTTTCTTATACATAGAACTATTCTTAAAAATAACGAACTGAATTCTCCAGATTGTTAAATGACTAAGTAAAATGGCCGATACCCGGACTTATTAGGCAACCAAATAATTCGATTCCGATCAAGGATCTCCGCGATCTAGATACAAGGTTGTTCGACATTCGTATCTTGGATTATTTCTTGAATTTTTGTAGCCTTTCGAAAATGAAAATTTTGCCATAAATACACAAACATCCGCAATCTAATTCTTTCTAGACTATTATACATAGAACTATTCTTAAAAGTGTCGAACTCACATCTCTAGATCGTTAAATGACTAAGTAAAATGGCCGATACCCGGACTTATTAGGCAACCTAATAATTCGATTCCGATCAAGGATCTCCGCGATCTAGATACAAGGTTGTTCGGCATTCGTATCTTCAAGTATCTCTTAAATTTTTGTAGCTTTTTGAAAATGAAAATTTTGCCATAAATACACAAACATCCGCAATCTAATTCTATCTAGACTATTATACATAGAACTATTCTTAAAAGTGTCGAACTCACATCTCTAGAACGTTAAATGACTAAGTAAAATGGCCGATACCCGGACTTATTAGGCAACCTAATAATTCGATTCCGATCAAGGATCTCCGCGATCTAGATACAAGGTTGTTCGGCATTCGTCTCGCTTTGTCGGAAAAAAACGTTCAACACGCCCGAAGAGAATTCCGTGATAAACGGGAGGGAAAAACCTCTTGGTCTCTACGTTCAATAAGGAAAGTTGACCGGGAGAAAAAAATTTGACCGAGCGCCGACCAGATTCTCCATCATCGTTCGACGCCGACGATCGATAAAAATTTTCCATCGTCGCGCGAAGAAAGTATCGGTGGCACTTACGTTTCAATAATCACTGTCATAGTTTCATCCAACGCATATACCAACGCAACGAAATTTATTTCTTCCTCTCTAAAGTGTTAGAAATCATGACACAAGCAATTTGTAACGAAGCGTGATAGATCCTCGTTCCTAGTTACTCGTAATTTTATAATTTTATATTACCGAAATTGTCAGAAATGAAAAAATTTAGCGAAGCCAAATATTGAAGCTTGTCTTAGTATTCATTCCTTTTTCAAAAATTGTAATTTACATATTTAGTGTTAACGGACATTGTTACTCTATTCACTTGTATTATTATTATATTCTCTTGTATTATTTCTGTATTCTATATTATTGTACCCATTTATGTTATTTCTGTAAAGCGAAATAAATCCAGAAGGGTTTCAATTGCTTAAAAAAAAATAAATAAATCGCGAAATAAAACAAAGGTGAAAAGCATCGACAACGAACTCGAAAGTACCTTTTTAATCAAACGCAGGTACTCCGGTTACCTCCCCAAATACATTCGTAAAATATCTCTATGCTCGCTGTGTGCAGCACGCTATTAATCAACGTTCGATGCAGAATGATTATCGTGTCTCATCCGTGTAATTTAAAACAGTATGAATAATGTTACTTTAGTTTTGACTAATTTATAAGTTCATTTTGCCTTTTATGCATGTTCGATTGCTCCATCGATCGTTTCGTTAATTGTGGCCGGGGAGGAGTGTGGAACCACGCGGTCGAGACGTAATCTTATCATCTGCTCGATGGGAATAACCATTCGATACGATCGGTGTTCGTTGATTGTGTCTAAACGATTATTAACACGAACGATACGCAAAAGTGGAATTTTTTAATTGAGCCGCGCGAAGAATTTGATGAATCTGGGCACGCGCGCCAAGCGTTTCACATTAAATATAATTGCGGTATTTTTTAGCGAAACAATCCGCACGGTCGACGAATATATTATAATGCCGCATCCTCGAACACTTATTACCTACTTTCTAGTATCATTAAGAATGAAAATAAATTACGCCGCGCTATGGTTAAACGCAAAGTGCCCACAATTCATCCCGAAAGTTGGTTAAATATTATTTCAGTTAGACGTAAACAAAATGGCCCAGTGTTTGGACGGATCTGAACGCAGATAGGATAATTCCATCGACTGGAAACCATCGCGACGAGTTGGACTAACGAGGACAAAACTGGACGAGTCCAATTTCCCCCCGGACGCGTTGGAGTGAATCTAAGAGCCAGAGTGGTCGGTAACTCTCCACAATAGGTCGTGAAAAAAACGTAAGAACCGATCGAGGATGATAATCGGCCGGAAGGGTGGAGTCCAGGTGAGAGGTGTGCAGAAGAGCATAGAAAGTCTGAATCATGAGATTGCATTCCATAAAGAATGGAAAGTCGGCGCGTATTCCTTTTCTTTTTTCTCCCTTTGCGAGACGGAATGTGTGAACGTGAAGCGGAGTCGCCGTGAAACACCGCGACGATTCCCGATCGAGCGGGTTATTTTTCGCTAGAGACGTCGCTCGAGACCGCGTACAACCCGATCGGAAACATTACGAAGAGTACGACGACCGACGGTTGGGCTAGATTAAGGCAACGAGGTCACGTGCCACTGGTTGCAATGCTGCGTGGTTACGTATGAGCCATTCCGCGTCAAATTCTCCAACCATCCAGACTACCGATCAACGATTCTCGATAGCCCCCCCAAAGTATCGCAATTCATAAAACAATACCCGGTTAAGTTCGTTCCACGATTGAAATTTTTCATTCTAACTGTTATCTGGAAATTGTTATCTGGATCAGTATTTTGCCCAAAAGTGAATTTTATAATTAAATTAGAACTTGTAAACGATTGGCTGGATTCGAGAAAGATCTCTATTATCTTCAATTGTCTCGTTATTAAGAAAGTGAATGAACAGTTTGCCGTTGAACGGTTCGGCTAACAGCTTTATCGGTAAAGTCATCTCATGGATCTGATAAGGCTAGAAAGGATCCCTGTTATTAATGGCCGGTAAGATGCACTTTCTAATTCTAATTTACGAAGAAAAAGTTTTCTATACCGTTCGTTGATTGTTTAATTTTATTCGGAGCGTCGTATAAATATTCAATTGTTCAATTTTTAATTGGCAAGATGATATCAGGCTAACCCGTTTCTTTGAAGCATTGAAACTCTATCACTAAAGACCACTTCGAATCGTTGAAAGCAATAAGTCAAACAATTGTTTCGCATAAAATACAAATTGCAATCAGCCGGAATTACGATAATCGATTGCAATTATAAGTAGCGTCAAAAGTAACCACACAGTTGTGTCCGCCATTTTTATAAACAGCGGCTTGGAATTCATCTTTTCCTTTCCAAATATCTTAAACTTTCATCGAATGACGAAGTGCGGGCATTCGTAAGCGCTAAATAGTTCATAAACGTGTCTCGAGATATATCGATAGAAACAGACAAATTGAAAACAGACTCCGATCGTATCAGAAATGAGAAAGTAAGATGGATGCGCGGTGGCTACTGCGCAGAATGTCTAGTGCCAAGCGCAACACGCGGAAGAACGTGAGAACGACCGTCAGAAGGACGCGGTCGATCATTAATCATGATATCGACACGGCTGTTTACGATCGTAACTATTTTACCAAAGGCTCGAATATCGAACCGAGACAGCTGGTATTCGTGTGCGTGCAAACTCGAGTTTCCAGCGATTAGAATCAGCCACGAAATACGGTGTTTAACATCGAAGAATATCGTCGATTTACGCGAGCATGTCCGACAAGTGGCTGGAACGCGTTGTTAACATGGTCCCTCCTGAGTGAAATGCACGCGACTCGGAGCAATTCGAGGTTGCCTCCTCGGATCCGAGCACTAATTAACCCATTTTCGAACAGATCCCCGATTCAGATTAACTCCCGAGACATAAATCGCGATTGTTCCAACGACGACGCTGAAGATACAAATCACGGGTGTGCGACAACCTCTTTTCTAATCTTGCGACATCGCTGTTTAGGAAACGGCGTACTGTAACATTGAACATGACACGGTTCTACGATATAATTTTACTTCGTAACCTTATTGTTATTTTTACTTATTCCGTAATATTTTTCTAATATTGGAATGCGAGGAGAACAGTAACGACCTTGCAATTACTGCGACACTGTGTAGACATATGTCAGCAATATTTACATTTGGTCTATTTATGCAAGTTGTGTTTACTATCTGGAGTTAGCAAAGGTAGCACAGGATACTTGTAGCACTTGTAGAAAAACGCCCTCTATTAAAAATGAATAAAAGCAAACTTTCCATTTTGAATAAAATTTACCAGAACATTATTCACAAAATAACTAATTTTTTCTACTCGCGGTTACTATGGCAAACGAGTTTGAATATCCGCCTTTTTAATCGGTCACGTAATATTGAATTATCTTGTAACGGGAAGGAACAGGAATTTTTTTTCATTGTGCAATCACGCAACGTGTTTCCCGCGAACCTAAATATTTATAAAGTCACCGTAACCGGTATTCATCGACACCACGATGCAAAATCAATAAAAAAACACAGTCAAACGTTTGTGCATAATTTCCCGACTGTTGACGCAGTTGCTTCACAACGATTCAGTGGAATTCTAACCTCCATCGAGGAAGACACGTTTGTTAATATACCACACGGCGCATACCAATCGTTCTAACAATAAGTTACAGTATAACTCACTCACTTTCTTCGTGTTTTCTTTATTCTATTGGTCTTATTACCTTCTTGCTATGCTGGGGTAGCGAAAAATAATTTTCAACGCTGTCAGGCATCTGTTAGGGCAGATTCAAATGAGAATTAGAGTGTTACATAAATAATATGATTGGTTACGTGCGTGTTACATAACCTATATGATAAACTAGACGCGCGGTAACGAACATGTTAAGCATGAACGGAATCGTAACATTTAAAAATTCTGATAACATTTCATAAAAATATCGATTTAATCTTTCCAACAAGTATACATAAACTAAATATTAGATGTTCTTCGATGGTCCCAATATCTATAAAAACGTAAACTGCGTTGTTACATCTTTCTAACCTACATAAATATGGTCAAAAATTGTAACGATCGTGTACATTTCTTATTATTATTCTTATTAATTATTTGATACATTCGCCGCTAGATTGTCCTTACATTTATTAATGATAATTAACATAATATTCTGGACGTAAACTTAACATTTGACGACGAACACAACACTACGAATGATTGCTTTCTTTGGACACTGTGCGTCTATTTTGGTCGTTCAGGTATCACTACTTTCCCCACTTACAACAGTTCGCTATCTATTATTCGACAACGACACCGCATGACCGAGCGGCATGATTGAAACGCGATCGTATGCGATCCCTTCAGTCCCTCACGACGAGGCGATGCGAAGACAAACAGTGATAGTCCGACGTACGAAACACGCGCCCGCGCATTTGTCGTTCCGCCAAGACGAGGTGATATTGCTCGAACGCTCGAACTTGGACGATTGCGAACAGAACGCGCTCAGATTATAAATAGCTAGTGGCAAAGAACAAGGGGATGCTCCTAGTAAGATAAGGAAACCGATAAACGGATACCTGATCGCAGTGTTATTGTCAGAGAGCTCGAAAGTCGTCACCGTTCGTTTACGTTCGCGGAATACTACCGAAAAACAACACGGTAACCGAGGTCGAACGCGAACGACTCATAACAGAAATCTGAACAGCCGATGGGAAAGAGATAACCCTGAATCGCGAACACGCGACAGAGAATTTTATAACGGAGAATTAACGACGATCGCTCGATACGAGTTAAAGAATTATTAACGATCAACGGCGGAGAGGACTGCTGGTGTAACGATTCGAATATACCGCCGCGCGAGGCGCCAATCGCCGAGCACCGTGATCGTAGGTGCTTACCCGCCAATCGTCCGTGATGCTGCACACGAGGACCGTCGCTGTCGCTGCAGCATCGCCTCTCGTCGTTGAAAATGTCTTACCATCGTGGCTGGTACGCGTTTCGGCCAGCCGTGTTGTGTCGACGCGATCCGCGAGCGACCGTTCCATCCACCGGGGCCAGATAACCCGCGAAGTCATGCTCAATAATTACCAGAAGGTGCTCGAAAAGTACAAGTGTGAGTATTAACACTGGCTGCGTCCATCTTACCGTGCGGTCTCCCTCTTACCCACGCCAATTGGTTCGCGTACCGTCTCGGTCGCGCATGCGCGTCGCTCGCCGTCGCTTCGATATTTCGAATCGATGCCGACCGACTCGGGACCTTGATATCGAATAGATCGCGTGCCCGCGCGGGAATTGTAATTGATATGTCAATGAATTCCCCCCCTTCCGGGAAGCGTTCGATTTACGCTCGATCTTAAAGGCAAAACGCGTTTTACACGCACGAACGTGCAGTATTTTCTCGCCACTCGAATTCCCACGATTTTGGCGAGTACCCAAAATCATCGTCGCAACACGTATCTATTAGAAGCCTGTTAGTACAAGTCATTGTCATGATTTATGTCGAAGAATACTGAGGTTAAGGAATACGAAATCTTGGAGTCTCGTGATCCCATGAATAACGGGATTCTCAAAATTTCGAATAACCTAAAAGAAACTAGGTTCTAAATCTCGATAGTTTTGTTACCCAAGCAAAGTATGTGCCTCGATAAGATGTTTAATAATTCAAGTAAAGCTCGTATAAAACATTTTCTATTCGAATTTATATCTAGAGTTGTAATTAGTAACAGAACGCGTTAGAGGGTCGGGAAGGACGGAATGGGCAGAAAAATCCGAACCGGTGAAAAGCATTTCGTATCAGGTATCTGTTTGAACAAAACGTGAACGCGGATTTATCATGAATCGAAGCCGGAGTAATAATGCTACGCGTTATCCTGTACTCGTATGGTTACAGAGTCCTGATACGGAGCCGCGTGTGTAGTCACGTGCATATGGATCGTATTCTGCAGCCCGCGTCCATCTTGATACGCGATATCTGAGGTTACGCGAAACATTAAACTGAGAGCAACGCCGGGCTGTTTTTAAATTATGCCGCGCCTGATGCATAAAATGATAAGAAAAGTAGAAACATTAACGACCGTGCAAATAATCATAATGGCAAGCTTTCGAAGCGTACAACGCTGATTATTATTGGTATTGGGTCTGTTAAAAAATTTATGCTATTTAAACGAGAATGTGAAACTCTAAAAATCGAATATTTCCCCATAGACTTACAGTTTTAAGTTTTGAAAATAACATAGGTCTGTCATGAAGGGGACTATCGAGCATGTTGTTTTGCAATTAAGAAATGATAATTTTTTTTTTCTTTTTTTTTTTGGTGTTGGGTAGCCTGTGGATGCAAACAAAGAAGTCTTTACTGCACTATAGCTTGCGGACTTTGCGGTGAACAGGAATGGTCAAATTGTCCACCCTGTGATTTTATAGACGCGGGAGATAAAATTGAAGATATACCAAAAGGTACAGAAGATACTTTGGACAGTTAATATTTAATATTTATATTGTACTTTTAAAGTAAAAGATTTGGATCTGTCAATATTTTGTATCGATCTTTATTTAAATAAAAGACATTTCTTCGAATGCCATTTTATCTCGCAATGTAAATGAATTGAATATCTACCATTTCCGTGTTTAAAGAAAGATGTGATATGAGGACTCAACGAAAACAGATTGACAAAAATATTTTGTCGCTTGAATCGTTATCTGCGATTCACTATGATACGCTATTTGCACCGTGCAATCGACACTGTCAATGCCAAATATTTGTTAATCCGAAACCGTGCTATGATTCTCATTGTTATTCGATAGCTCTGCTTGTTTACATTCCTTTATCGCATCCGAACATCAGGGAATAACCATCACGGTTTATTCGAATATCGAAACATTTTCAAAACAATTAATATAAGCTATGTATAGGTTTCTAGTTGTACAGCTGCCCACCACTTGTTCGAGCTGAAGAAACATCAACGATCTACCATTTGTGTAACATTTTTTTTCAATAAATTATTACGTAAAAGTATTTCTCGTTACTTTTTCCCGGGTCCATCCGAAGTTTCGTCTTTCGATAAATAATTTCATCGATAAACAAAAATTCCATCAGAAATCTAACAGACAAATAAAAGTCTCCCATTATTTAATAATCATATGTGTACTTGAGTCTGAACTACGTGGTTTGTTTCAGCCAAGAAGCTTCCACAAGACGTGGACACGAAAGGGGTGTTCGCCTGCAACGAGCTCGACTTGAAGGAAGTCCAGGTCTACGGATTCGATTACGATTACACGCTGGCCTGCTACAAGCAGTCCATGGACCATCTGCTTTACAATCTCGGACGCGATATGCTCATCCAGAAGTACAAGGTACCGCCTACTGTTCGTTATATGCGTCGACCGTGTAGAAAATTTGAACGAAATCGGTGACACTTGTTACGCAAAGTACCCTTGCGAAACAGAGAATCCTTACGCCTCTGTCGTCGACGAACGTCTGATGGAAAGTTTCGCGCCGACGAGACTAATTCGAACGAACGAACGAAACTTCCCCCTAACTCGTTTCTGCGCGCGGGTACGGGCCCCCCGTCGGTCGGCGTTTTCTCGAAAATCAAGCGACAATTACGCCCGGGACGAGAATTTCAATTGAAACTTGACGCGAAACCCGTTTAATCGGCTGTACAGTACCCCGAGGGAATCGCCAGCCTCAAGTACAAGGAGGATTTCGCCGTTCGTGGCCTCCATTACGACATCGAAAAGGGTCTGCTGCTGAAACTCGACAGCTTCTTGCAAATTCAATTTGGCACCGTTTACCGCGGTTTGCATCCGGTAGCCGACGACGAGGTCCTCAGGCTCTATAAAAACAGAATAATACCGATCGCCTACGTGGAGGCGCCTCATAAACACTCTCACGTAAGCACTCCGCAGGAAATCCTATTAAACCGATGCTATTAAGTCCGCACTTTCGGTAAGATCGTCTTTCACTGTGGCATTTTTTTTTGAATTAAAAATACACATGTACACGATTTAAAAAATATTTGAAATCGTTGAAGATACATTTGTGTCGGTGTAGAACCCCTTTACGAAAACTATACTCGGGTCAACGAGACCACACGAACGAATATTCACATACGTCCATTGACTCGTCTCTTTGGCCCGAGTATAGACACAATATTAATTCGAGATAATTCTTATCTCTTATTATGTTACGTCTCTACTTCGTAAATACGAAAACACGAAATCTGCGGTTAGTTTCCGGGCAGTTTAATAGTAATTAACCGAGAGCAGTATATCGTATACCGTATTTAGCGAGAATATGATGTGCAACCATGCGTGGAAAAGTTTGCTCGTCTGTGCAACGGCGTTAAAAGAAAATTGAAAAGCGAATAGGTTCGCTGTGTAGAACGGTCGATGATGCGTTCTCTGTTTTTGCCTCTTTGAAAAGTTTTCAAAGAGGTAACGCAGAAATGCAAATTAATAGGAACGTTTGTGATGTAACCGACTGCATGATTGTTTTGGTCTTTTTTTCAAGGTTACTTTGCATGTACACGCTAAGGCCGAAACTATTTGTCGAATCTTTCTGTATTCGAACGTAAGGAACGTTGCAGCATCTCGGATAAATCAGCAAATATTATTCTCCACTGATCCGAGGATATTTTATTTACGTTCGAATACTCAAATGTTCGAACGTTGTTCAAATAGTTCCGGTCCTGGTACACATACATATCCTTAGTTTTGCATTTCCAAACAGAAACTGGAAAAACTGGCAACAAATTAAACGTCTTCTGTTTGTTTGCATGCGTCGACACGTATGTTTTTCGTGATGGATTTTTTCAACCTAAAATATAGAAAGTGAGTACCTTCGTTTAGTATACTCGAACGCTTTAGGGTCTGTGGATAATATAAAATTTCGTTTCAGGAGGCGCTACACCGAACGAAAATGGTTCAGCTGGCCGATTTATTTTCGGTACCGGAAATGAGCCTTCTGTGCAACGTCACGGAATACTTTCTTCGAAACCATATCGACTATCACCCCGAAATACTCTTTAGAGATGTAAAGGTAAAAGCTTGTTATCAAAAATTCAATTATTTATTAAAATCGAAATAAATACGTCTGTTTTCCCTGTAGAACTCGGTACAAAGTTGCCACCCTATAATGCACGGAATGGTGGTGCAAAACGTATCGGAGTATCTGGAGCAGAATAAGGATCTAAAGCAATTCTTCGACCGGCTTAAGAACGCAGACAAGAAAATGTTTTTGGTGACCAACAGCCCTTTCCACTTTGTGTACGTGTCGAAAACGTCGCGAAAACATAACATTATTCGATCGATGAAATTTATTATTATTTTACAGCGACATCGGAATGAAATTTTTAGTCGGTAATAATTGGAAGGATTACTTCGACGTGGTAATAGTGCAAGCGAGGAAACCGAAATTTTTCACCGAAGAATCGAGGCCCCTGAGAATCTACGACGAAGTCAACAAAACTCAATTGTGGGATCGAGTGACGAAACTCGAGAAAGGCGCTATATACCTCGAAGTAAGATTTTATATTCTACGTATTCTTATCTTTTATGAATAATAATCATTGCAAACGCAGGGCACGGTTAAACAATTGCAAGACATGACCGGTTGGCAAGGGCATCAAGTATTATATTTCGGCGATCATCCCTACAGTGATTTAGCAGATGTTACTTTGGAACATGGTTGGCGAACTGGAGCAATCATTAAAGAATTAACGGTAAGTATACATCGCAGTTCAAATAAGAACGCTTCAAACAGTACATTTTTCGATATTCAACTTCGATTTCTAATTTTGTCTGATTTATTATCAGTAAACTACATATATATTCATTCTAAAATGTTTTACAACAGACGAAAAAATTAATTCGATACTCAAGTAGTCAAATAGTAGAAACTGCTAATTATAGAAAAAGTACAGACTTTATTTGATTCATTCAATAAGGAGAGGAATTTCAGAAACAAAGCACCTTCTATACCTCGACACCTTTGACCTTTAAAAAGTTGTCATGCTCCGCGCTGAGTTCGATTAAATTCAATTGGCCATTCAGGGCTACATCCCTGACTAAAAATAACTGCATTAAATAACCAATAAGGGGCATGTATACTATACATACAGAGGATATCTTTACGATATCAATGCATAAATTATTTGTTCGATACAGCACGAAATAGCGACACTGAACAACCCAAAATTCAAAGAGAACGCTAACTGGTTGCAAATGCTAACGGGATTGATAGAGGAGCACCAAGATTACGAAGGGCCAGACGTGCAAGGAGTACTGAATGAGTGGATCAGTGAAAGAGACCAGTTAAGGAACGAGATAAAACGTGTATTTAATCAGCAATTCGGCTCCGTGTTCAGAACATATCATAACCCCACGTATTTCTCAAGGAGACTGTTTAGGTTCGCCGATATTTACATGAGCACGATCACAAACCTATTGGAATATTCAACGAGTCACACGTTCTATCCAAGAAGAGGTGTAATGCCGCACGAGTATACAAGTTATTTTGTGTAATGTACAGATTCTATGTTTAGACCTGAAATTAGATGTATTACCGATTTTTTTTGAGGACCTGCCAGAAAGCTTATAGAGCTACCAATCAAAAATATGCCGGATAAAAAAATAGAATATATATATATATACTATATACAATTTTTGAAAGTTAGATATTTAAAACGCATTTTCGTTTTATGTAAATAAAAGAGAATGTCAGACTGCTTAAATCGATAACGGAATATAGCGAGCAAGTGATCACCGATTTATTAGATCGTTCAAATGTGTTTTATGCGATGCATAATTGTTTAGAGAAAATAATATACTCAAAAGTACCATTGTGCGTATCTTGTCGACATAATTTAATTCATTCTATCATAGTTGAACATTAATCAAGTAATCGATTACGCGATGCGATTTAACATTTCGATCGTATTTAGTATATATGTGATTAATCATCAGCCGTTTGCGGTCATGGTTGATTACGTTAATGGTTATTTTTAATCGTCGATAGTTTGATCAAATTTTGCCAAACATGGTATCTATTATTGTATATACAAACATTTCGCCAAAAAGTATAATAAATTTTAGTATAGAGGTCTTGACGATACCATAAACTATCGGGATAACGTTTATAGCGACCTCGTGCCGAAATTAATAAGGCAGTTAATAAAATAATGGAAATTTAGTTCTTATTGGACGCTTGAAGCAGTTGGTATTTTACATATTTTATTACTCGTGATGAAGAGATATATGTATTGTTAATCGGGTACAAAATTTGTCAATGTAAGTGTTAAAAATGACGGAAATCTATTATCGAAGCGTGTATGTATATACCATAGATTAGATATCGCATAGTGAATGTATAAAACTTATTCTATGATATCCTTATAGTACAATTTAGACTAAATAGGATACAAAAGTTTAAGTTAATAGGGTTGTTCCTAATAACTGTGATTATATTTCTATCGAGCATACTTTTTGATTTTAGGATGCGCGTTACGACACAAAACAAAGTATGTATGTACATTGAATGAAGTTAATACGAATCCAACATGCGCGTCAAAAATTCTATGTAATCTTTTTTTTTCTTATCGCAACAGCGCAATTTGTTTTACATTCTTTTGCAGTCTTTTGCGAATACAAATACAATGCTTACGTTAATGTGTTCGAAATGTACATAAGTAATCGTAATAACCGATAAAAAATAAATCTATACAACATTATTACGATGTACGGAATATATTCCTACTTACGCTAACCTCAAATTATTTTTCCTTTATCAAAAACTCCCCAAATAAATATTTGAATTAAGCTACGTTACCTAACGATTTATCCGATTTATTTTATATCAACGATCTCAATATTTCTTCAAAGCATTTTCCTGGGATAAATGAAAGTTAGCAAATATCAATAGGGTTACCAAGTACTGAAAACGTACGAAAAATAAGAAAAATACAAAAATTTATTTCTTTAAAATACCTACAACTGGAAATAAAATCGTAAACTATAGCACAATGAAATATGAAATAAATTAATTCCGAAAATGAATATCGAGCCTTAGAATAGTATATTTGTGTATCAAATAATTTTATATTTCTGTCTCCTAGCACAAATAAATTATAAATGTCCATGGCATTAATTAATTATAATTAATACAATGTCTGTAATCAATTCGTAACATCCTTCGTTATAATTTCATCACTCTAAATGATTACAGAAATAAATTTAAATTAACAAATACTGGAACAGAATTGCTATTTGGAAGAAAGCTTAAATATCTCTACAGCGATGTACGTTAAGAAATTCCTAAAGTATGACGAGTGTTGAAGAGCATTATGTACAACACGTTTCGTGTATTTCATATAAAAAATGCCCGCAGATTTTCTATACAAATGATACGAGTGTGTTTGTATGAATTATTCAAATATATTTAAACAAATATCAGAGATACAATATTTACATAAAATTCTCTCGCATTCATGCAAGCACAACACGCGCACAAACACTGTCCTACGCAATTTTTATGAATATCAAATACAGCCACTGCACAGTATACTACGCTATCCACACTTAAACAAGTGCCCTTCGATGACTGTATTACCGAAAATGACTTTCATAGTATTTATTTGACACAATCACCGCACAGTTTCAAAGCTAAACTCAAAAAAATGATCCACAGCCTGACATAACACTTACACGGTAGTGTCGCCACCGTACGTTCTATGGCTTTATCATTATGTTTCGACTTATGTTTCATCTAAGTCATTCATTATGAAAGTGATGTAATCATGTAAGTCGATTTGTGATCACGGAAAACATATTTTTGTTCGATCGATGTGTATACTCTTTAAATCCTTGATGAATTCATTTACCAACGACCATCAAAAACATGCTGGTCGATTAGTGCTTATCGATACTTTTCAGTCAATTGAAATGCAAAATTTTTTTATCTCCTTTTACGAAACAAAGATAAATGAACCTATGTTCCCCATATCGATGGTACGATATTTACGCGTAAAACATGTTCATGCCACTGAGAACTAATTCCATGTTTAATCTGTATTAACTACATCGATTCGTAATGGTTGCTCGGTAAAGCCAATTACATGGAATTATTATAATTTACTATAACAGTAGTACTAAATTATGCGTACAAGTTATTTACATATTAACTTTCAATAGCTATGTTAACAAATTACTGACTCAGGAATAACAGCAGGACCATTACAATTAGCAACGATTCTGGCAAACTTAGTCTTTACTGTAGTTACGGTATTTTATGCATTTTGGCTAATTATTGGTCAGCTATTTAACTTACTGAGTGATTGACATTTTCCGCATACAGTCTTCCGATTTGATGCAGATGCAAAACGTCTGACTACCGACGAGGTAGATTAGCGAAATTAAATTTCAGCTAAGGTAGCAAAAGTTATGTCGCATATAAAATGACAATATGATAAATTTAGAAACTTTTACTTGGGCTAGTATCGTGAGATTAAAAAGATGACTAATTAAAATGGAACTTAAATTGGAAGGGAGAACCATGGAAGTGATGGAATTCTTGGAAGGGATTGAAACCTTGTTGATGTTTCCCTGATTCTGGATCTAAAGGATCTTCTCCTTGATCGAATTTCGCTCTTTTCTCATCGTCAGTCAATACCTCTTTGGCAGCCGCAATATCGATAAACCTTTTTTCCGCCCGTTTCTTTTCCTCCCCCTCCTGAAAGTTGTCAGGGTGCCATTTTTGTGCAGCCTTTCTATACGCTTTAATAATATCCCGTTTCGATGCTGTTCTCGATACCCCCAAAATTTTGTAATAATCTCGCGACTCAGAAAGCTTTTGGCGTTGTTGAGCTTTATGAAGCCCTTGTTTTGCTCTCTGTAGACTCGGGTCAATTTCTAAAGCTTCCTTAAAATCTCTTATCGCTGTTTGAAAGAAAATTATTATATTACTAAATTGAGCCGTTCTTCCAAATCGGTACCCGCGGCCGAATCGACATGAAATTTGAAGAGGTTGGAGGGAAGGGTGAATAGATACCAAATATAAAATTTTAGCTTCACTAATTCGAGATACTAGGCGTCGAAGTAATAAAAGAAAATCGCGGAGAGTGAGGCGGAGGACGATCGTCTTTTGACCACGATCGGTTACTGTTTACTAACTGGCGAGAAGACTGGCCACGTTTCTTCTGTTAAATTATGGAACTGTTCGTGAAATGTGGACTAAACTAAATACTGTGTATGATATGAAATCGGATGAAAATCTTATGGTGGTACAAACGCAGTTGTTCGTGAAGGTGTTGAAGGTGTTGAGGTAAATGTTTGTTCATTCATCTAACGTGCCACGAAACTTTGTGAAGTCATACATACTGATGTATGTGGGCTGATGCAACAAGAGTCTTAACAACAAGATAATAGAATTACAGTTGAAACGACGCGATCCATGATTTATTCGAAACCAGACTTGCCATTATTTTTGTGGGCAGAAGCTATGAATTTCTATGAATTTTATTCCTACACATACGTAGGCTGGATTAGGATAGTATATTGCAAACTAACATTTTCCCATCAACAAAATAAAAAGTATGCATGAAAGGAGCGAACTGGTTTTTCGTGGGATACTTTATAGATTAGCTTCCTAGTAGAATTAAAGACCGAGAATCTGATCAACAATGACGCGAGAGCTACCACATGATAAGGAGATTTGTGTGCGTAATATCTTGAAAACGGCCGCAGGTGCAATTCAGAAGAATATCCCTAAATATAACAGTAATAAAAAGTTTATTTATCATATTAATGTAACTTACCATCGTCGAACATCTCAGCAGCAAGATAGGCTTCTGCACTGTCGCAATACACGCCAGGTTCTTTTCGCATTTTCAGCGCTTCTTGGCAATTATTAATTGCTTGGCTCGATTCCGAGTTACCAGTATAGCACTTACAAAGAAGTTGATGAGCGGTAAAACGTACATTAACCACGTTTGGTTCGAGCTTAAGTACAGATTGGGCAGAAGCTATACAATTATCGTAATTTCTTTCTTCTTCGGATGTTTCTGCATTTGTTAATAGCTTCGCTACCTCTTTCACTTTCTTATAAAACGAAAAACACTTTGAGTGTTCTGGATCCAGTTTCAGACATTCTCGAATTTCCCTAAACATTTACAATATTAATACTATATTCGACAATATGAGACACCATGCAAAGGTGTAATGACAATTATTACTCACTTCAATGATTCGGATACTTGTCCGAGCCGATAATGCAGCGTAGCTAATTTCAAAAAACCTTGCGTGTTATCGGACTGTAATTTAGTTGTAGACCGCACATCAGAAATGGCACTGATGTAATCTCCAAGAGCTTCGTGACATTCTGCTCTACGCTCTCTAAGTTCAACAGCCCATGGACATACTTCGATAACTTTAGAAATTTTATGCACAACGGCTGCGTAATCACCATTTTTCATTAAACTGTCTGCATCCTCGAGATCTTCTCGCGCAGCTTCCATTTTATATACAGCATTTAAAGCATCCGCATTGTGTGGCTGCACCGCCAACTATAATAAATGGACACAGAACAGTTTTAATATATTAAAATTATATAATCATAAATATTTATATTTCCATGGAATACAGAGGTATACCTACCACATCCCAAAAATCTGCTTTCGCTTTATCGAATTGTGCTTGTTTAAGTAACACATTACCTCGCTGCAATCTTGCGGATGTAAAATCTGGCTTCAATTCCAAAACTTTATCAAGATCAAGAAGTGCAAATTTAGCTTTACCTAATGCTAGGTACACAGTGCCTCTCTTATAGTATGTTAAATAATTATTTGGATCTCCCTCTGCAACAATAATACGTATCAAAATTCTAAACAAAGAAACTAATAAATACAGGAAAACTTCGTTTCTTGTTATCTCAAAAAGGAATGGTTACTTTTCCCAGTATATACTATTTTTAATGTATAAAAAAGCAATGAACATTTCGTTAAACTATTGTTCTAAATGGGAACAAAATTCAACAACAGTTCGTATTTCTTATAAGTCTGACACGGAAACGAATTAACGAAAGAAACATATTAAAGTAAATGATTACGAACGAAACTTACCGACAGCTGCATGGTAATGTGACAATGCATCTTGCAATTGACCCTTTGCTAAAAATTCTCTACCTAATTCTAAATGCCTGTCAATTTCTAATTGAGTAACACTCCCAACCACTGTAACACGAGCTTATTAAGTATTACACCGTAAAATAGTTATAATAAAGATACAACAGATTAAGATTATTTACCGTCTAAAGAAAGGTCCAATAACACAAGTAGTAAACCACAATGGTACATGACTGAATAGAAAATTGAGCCACGGTGATGCAGATATTTCTATAAATAAGAAAACAGATTCGCTGGCTTTACAAGCCTCTATTTAACTACCAGATAATACAAAACTGTTCAGCCACAGCGCCATTGCGATCGTGGTCTTACACGATTGGTCCAAGTTGATTCAACAGAAATGGGCCTCCCACCATTGGCACCTTACTATCTGACACAAACTTTTGGATATCTTTACCGTAATATACCTACTTGTATTTTACATTTGTTCAACATTGGATGCCCAGTCGACGGTGAATGTATATTTACTGTGTAAATTTTTTGTATACGTGTCATATGCCATGATAAACTAGCAGTCTTTTATTCAAAGGTTGAATGAAACACGTCACATACTGCAAAACATATTGTTACGAGTTACATCAATACAAATCAGCCAAGAGATTCATTACCCGTGTGAAATTTCATTTACCACCTAGTATTTACTCTTTCAATAGAAAGTAACGAAAAGAAAATTCGATAATGATATTTTATACAGAATCGAAGCTTTACTCGTAAAGGTTATTAAACGAATATGAAATTGTAAAAAGGATCCCGCGTAAGAAGGTTTGTTGAAAATTTATTTGCTTTTAAACATATTTCACGCCTTTTGATATGTATAAAATAATGAAAATACATACTTTGTGAAATTGTAAGTTTGCTGTTAAAAGTATTGACGATGCCTCGTGCTCGTACTTATTGGAAAACAGATTTGTAAATTATCTGTACGTATATAAATACCGATATGTGCGCTTTCATTGATTACGTCAAGTATTTGGTACAAAGTAATAATACTATTCTATGTTGGAGAAAAACATTGCATAATTTTTCATCTATTACCGGTGTCGTCAATGCGGAATCACGATAAGTGAAATGTATATTTTACGAAACTCTACGGATTAATAAATATTTCATGCAAAAGATTATGCAATTTTTGCAAAGATGATAACTACGGTCAATATATCGATGAATTGATTCTTCGCTGATTTTAATAAAGTTGAAATATGTAATTTATATGTTTGAAAAAAACTGTTGCTATTATTACGTTTAATTTTGCCTGCGTACGAGTCTTGCTGTTTATAGAAACACATCAAAGTAAACGGTAAATATGAACTTAAAGATCAAACCTAATCGATGAAGGTTAACAAAGTAGTTTTTATCGCTGACGCAAATGCATACGTGTACGAAAACTTTAATTATATGCAAAGGTAAAAGTGTTTTAAATGACGGCCTTTATAACATATTTAAAAATCATTGAAATTGGCGAGGAACCAGCTCTTCGTCAAGTTTGCGATTAACTACATTTCGATTCGACTACACAAAATATTTCGATATCAAAGCTTGTTCAATGTATAGTAAAACATTTCTGAATTTCGATGTGCGGGATAAAGAAGGCAAGTACATGTGAAAAGATTCTACATCGCATAATCTTTTTCCCTCGTTTATTAGATGGTTCATTTTATAGAATTCTCCTGTCATTTTGCATAATACTATAAATAAACGAATGAATCACCAAATGAATAAACATTTAAATAATATGCGTGATCCATTGTCTCTTATGAGGTATTTGTAACAATATTGACACTCTACATCATTCTTCACGGAACACACGTGTTGTTTTTATCTAAGCACAAGATGCACATGCTTTCCGCAATGCGACCGACACTTATTGCTAATGAACGACAAAAGTGTATACATGTTAATGCATATATATCATACACTTCGTAAGGTTAAGTTGACATTCCTCGTTAAATTTCAGACACTTTATTTTTATTAATTCATTCAATAGCCGTACGACGTACAGTTGTTAGCAGATTTTTCCTACTTCCCGTATTTTTCTCGGTTCACCTAATATAGCGTGTAAATGTGCAATTACTAATAAGAGACCGACAGAATGGTACGTTCACCGTTCCGATTCTTTATTCTTCCTTCATTTTTTTTTCTTCTTTTTTTTTCTCTTTTTGCCGCTTGCTCACCATATTTCAGTGAAACAGACATATAGCAGTATCATTAATGTTACATGCGAATGATACGATGAGCATCATTGGCTGTGGAAAAATGTAACACAGCCATTGAGACTCGCTGTCGGAAGCGCGACAATATATTGCTTTACTTCCTTTACAAATTTCTTTTTTTTTTACGCGCGTCTTGCTTGCCATCTTGATTCAACAAGCGACGCGCCTCGATTAAATAACATTCGTAAAAGTTAGAAGACATTTTTTTTTTTTCTTTTGCCATCCCACCTTGTGTTGCCTACGAATTTTGTTTCAATCTACGCGTGTGCTCTTTCTTTCTCTCTTTCTCTCTCTCTCTCTCTCTCGCTCTCTTTCTCTCGTGTCGACCTTTTTCCTTTCACTCGCAATATCTTACGCACACGATTACTCAACGCTTCACTCCCATTAAGATTTTTTTTTTCCATTTTCTTTTTTTTTTTCTTGAGTATTAGTTGTCCTTTTTAAACTTTTCACCGTGAACGGAAACCAGCTTGATGTAGACACACACAATAAGCGCACACAAATGTTTCTTCTTTCCTTCAGAAAGAGCAAACGAACGAACGCAATCCTCGAACGTAAGTGTCCGTTCAAATTTTTGAAAATGCGTAATGTGTATGAAACAAAGATAAAAAGTAAACTATTACCTATAGCACGCGACGACAACAATTGTATTCGGCGACACTTTCACGCGCTCCAATTTTCCCGACACTGTTTCCACGTGTTACGCGTACCGGATATGGCTTACAATATGTTCTCTACCTTGTGTGTATTGTGTGCTTTCGTAAATTGCGCATTCTTTTTCGTAGTAATGATTGCAGTCACAGTCAAACGCCATTTTTTGTTATTTTTTTTCTTTTTGCTTTTTTTTTTCTCATTTTTACACAATATGTAATACGATTTTTATTCGTAGCCCCTCTCCCGTTTTTTTTTCTCTCTCGCACTACAATTGATCTTTGTTTTATCGTTCCACTCTGCGTAGATCGGTAAATGTTTTCTAAGGCTGCTCGTCCGACATACTTTAGAGGACCAAACATAAACGTTTAAAGGTACTCGTACAGACAAGTATACGACTGTCCTTCTGAGCGAAGTAACAGGGAAAAAAAAAAAAAATAAATACTTAACACGTTAATAAATAGTCTCGTTTAATATACCATTCTCCTATTTCCTCTAAAGATGCTAATACGTTCTAAATCATAATGCCGTACTTGAATTTATACGTGTACCGGTTACGAAACGGTGGACATCTGACTATCGCACAAATATATTTTATCAATTACTTTTTTTTCTTCTCTTTTTATATGAAATATACGATAGCGGAATCGTTTGAATTCGGTCGGTAATATTTCGACTACCAAAACGATTCGTTCGTAATACGGGAAACGAAAAAAATACATGGAATTAATGATACCGTGACTGCTCGACGATCAACACTGTTACGTATAAAAATATCGTTACAACTAGGAGAGAAACAAGTATAAAAATATTTTTGCGTATAGCTGTCGTTACTTGCATGATCTCTGTCCACCATGTTACTCGTAAATGAACATATTTACTTCCAACTGCACAAGACTAATAACTTACATCGACGCGTCATATGTATTCGTTGCCTTGGCGGTCAATTGGACAGTAGAATCCAGAATCTCTTCAATTTCAAACACACAATCGTCAGTTTTTTTGAGAATCCGTGAATGATCAATTTTGCGAACAAAGAAGAAAATATATATATATTAAAATATTCCGGATAATAGTGTCCAAAAGTCACCTATACTCTTTCTTTCTTCTACAGCGATGTAAAATAACATAACGCAGTACAGCATAGCTGTTATACAAAAGCTCGCGCATACAGTGTCATCTACGAAATCGATGTAGACATCAAAAGGAGAAAAGAAAAATGAATAGTAATAGTAATATAGTAGTAAATAAGAGTAATAGCAATAGTGATACTAATATAGTAGTAGTATTACGGCAAGATCTACTATCTTCTTGGCAGACTAAGCGTCCAACTGAATAATTTATTGCCGTAAATGTTGTACTCTATAAACGGAAAAGTGATCGATTATCACTTTCTCATTGTGGGTTTCTTGTAATGTTCTTGGCAGGGCCTCCGAGTTGACAAACGAACTCGACAATTAAAATCATATTAGAATTTGAAAACCACTCGCACCATGGTCGGAAGCCAACAATATTTACTCGTAACACTATTTGAAAGTTCTAGTTGAAATAATTATCCCCCGGTTAGGGAGGCATTCACACCTTGGTCCACGGTCACACGGCATACGATTCACGCACGCGATTGCACTATAAATCTATTAATATAACAGGTATAAGTATGACATGTCTAAAAATCCTGTCAGTTGTCACGCAAATCGAATTTGTACTTTTCCTCACATAGATTAGGTAAGAATCCGACGTTTGCACAAAAGATATCGACATTCTATAAAGCCCTACCAACATCATCAACCAGTAATGACGCGTTTCGCCGTTATCGTCTATCATTTAATGCGCGTTACATTTTCTTCTTTTTTTTCTCTTTTTTTTTAAGTAGAAACAATGTCCCAAAAACAGCGTTTTCAGGACTGTAAGAGCTAGCGTTCAGCCCTCCCCGATCGGACAACAGCCACGTAAGTTCTTGATGTATTTACTTTAACGACTTAATATTTCCCACTCTCGGCTCAAATAACTGAGCTTTATGCTTTCCTGACATTCAATACCGTTTAATGAATACATTTAGCATTTGTATTTCGTTTAAATTGTTCATTTATCAATTCGCATGGAAATTGAATGTCACAAGATCGTTCGATATCACAGTCGTTTCTCAATTATTTTAATGTTTATGTATTTACGAATATTACTTAGTATGTATATATATGTATGTATGTATATATATATATATATATATATAGCGTACTGATAAATACAGTTATAAAATATGAGTGCGCCTTTTTGCCTTCTTGTCCCGAAGGGCTTTGCTTCTTTGTATATTTTTCATCATTTCTTCTTTTTTTCGTAAAGTTGAGCCAACTAACAGTGTATGTATTTTTTTACTCGTTTATTTTTTCCCTTTCGAAGTACCCCCCCTCACCCCCCTCTGTAACTGCAACCGTATTATTTTTTTTTTCTTTCTTTTTTTAACCCGTGTTTTTCTTTTTTAATTTCTTATAATGTTAGCTTTCGTTCTAGAGCACTCGCATCCAGTACTGCGATTTAAGATTCTTATAACGCACCATACCATTTTTACAGGACAACGTCTTCGTTACGTTTAGAAATTCTAATTAGAATACATTAAAAATTCAGGTACAACAAATATACCCCAATAGATTCGCTGAAACGTTTCAGCCTATTCTAGACACAGTGACCAATGTTTTAAATAAAAAATAAACTCCTCGAATTAAATTAAAGACAAGCAATAAGTTTACAGCGTCTGACGTTTAAACATACTTATTGTAAACGGAAACGAGACGGGAAATACGAAACGGGATTTCTAAAAGTAGCCTAAGACGCAGCCTGTGTGTCCTTTTCGTAGTATCAATGTTGTCGACTATTGAAAATTTTCAATCGCGATTTAGTCGATTACACCATATAATATTGCCGGCGCAACGTCGTCTGTGTCTGGGGACGGCAAAACAACAAAGTACCATTCGTCGCTGGACTATAGTAAATTTAAAACAGGAATCGTCACAAAATCTATGGCGATGGCGATATGGCGTATCCTAGGCGCCTAGTTACATATATGCATTACATCAAAGAAATGAAAAAGAAACAAACAAAACAAAAAAGAAGGAGAAATGGCGCCATTAGTTTAAACCAAACTACACAAGTTACTGGCCATTCAGGCAATAGTCATAAAGCACTTGTGCATTTAAAGCTATGTGGATTACTTGAATCTAGACGCCACAATTCTCGAAGATACGCCCATCACATCCTCCAAAAATTTAAATAATGAAGCCACAACGAGCCCCATAGTTTTCGACAGGAGTTCTAAAAAATTTCACTAAGTTTCTCCACCTACTATGTGTTGTATCGTAACGTCCTATCTAGACATTTACGATTTGATTCATTAGTGATTATACTACTTGTGTTCCTCAACACGCACGGCAACGAAACTTTGGATGGATCTCGTATGTATCTGTATATAGTACCAGACAAAATCCTGATGATTCTTAGAGTGCTTTGAAAAAAACGAGATCATTATCTTCCACGTTATTCCGATTCGTTTCCGTAGATATCGATGCTGGAATCGCACTCAAGATTTACCAACGTTTCGTCACACGCGAATAAAGGTATTTGTGGAATTGAATAAACACAATTTTCTTTTTTCGTTTGAAAAATTGTAGTGCTCAGGCAGTCAGCGAACGTGATGTGTTTATACGTGATACTGTCTGTCCTTTGTTGTGTATATGTAATACGCGCGCAGATACGTGCGTGTTGTATCCGATGTGTATGTCGTACGTGTCTTTCTTACATATATTTGAATTTACGTGTACAGTAGTAATAATGGTAAAAGTGGAAATTGAGATGATGGTGATTTACTTCTGCCATGTCTCCCACCAATCGGGGCCAATATTGCTGCCGTTGTTAGCAGAACTATTATACGATGAATTACTATAATTACCTCCGTAATTTCCGTAATTTCCTATAGAAATAAAAGCGATCCATATAATATGTAAGCTTTTACTTTGTTATCGGCGCTAAAGAATTTTAATTAAATTTAAAATAAACGAATGATTTAGTTAGTTACCAACTAACCTCCGTAACTGCCTGATCTGTTGGAGGGACCACTGTTACGTGTAGGTCCGGAACTAGGTTGCTGACGATAATCTCTTGCACCAAATCCGCTACTAAATCGGCCTTTAGTACTACCACCACCACCACCACCACCACCAGTACGTCGAGATCCACTTCCAGAATATCTTACTGAATCACCGAACATTTCGTCCAACCATGTTGGAAGTTCTTGGTTAGCCTCGATAAGCAGAGACACCAAATCGCGCACCAAATTATGATTTTTGTGATTGAAAAATGACGTTGCAAGACCTGTTCGGGGATAAAATTACAATTTCACATTTGTAAATTAGAATGAAAATGAAAAAAAAAAAAAGGAGAAAAAAAACGAAACTAACCTAAATTGCCCATGCGACCAGTACGACCGATCCGGTGGACATACTCTTCTACATCGCCTGGTAAATCGAAGTTTATCACATGTTTAACATGCGGAATATCAAGTCCACGAGCAGCAACGGCAGTTGCAACAAGTATTGGCGCTTTACCAGCACGGAAACGGCGTAAAGCATCTTCTCGTTCGCGCTGAGTACGATCACCATGAATGCTGGTAACCGGATATCCCATTTGATGCAAATATTCTTCTAACATATCGGCGCCCTTCTTCGTTTCCACAAATACCAAAGTCAATGACTCGGCTGCTAAAGTTTCGGCATAATATATTTTTCATAATACAGCTATTATTGCTAGTGTGTACAAAAATAAGTACACTATAAATTTTTTTAACTTACAAGCGTCTGAGAAAACGCTAGCTTGAAGAAGATCAAGCAAATAAGAACGCTTGTCGTGTTCTTCCACCCATACGATTTTCTGAGTAATATTTTCAGATGTAGAACCGACACGGCCCACGGCTAAAAAGATATAGTTACTAAGGAAATCCCTTGCCAATATCTGTATCTCTTTCGGGAACGTAGCTGAAAACATAAGTGTCTGCCTTTCCCCGGTTGGAGGCATTCTATCCTCTTGGACTATGCGTCTGATCTGTGGTTCGAAACCCATATCCAACATACGATCTGCTTCATCCAATACTAAATATCTGAAACATTACATTAAACATTTCGTTGAGAATGAAATAATTCGAGTTAATTATAGAACTCAATTCCGTGATAAATATAAAATCATCCACGTACCGGCAATTGTGTAAACCAATTTTGCCGCGACTCAGCATATCTACAAGGCGACCAGGTGTTGCTACAAGAAGATGGCAGCCACGATCTAATTCTCGCATTTGGTCTGAAATATTCGAACCACCATAAACAACAGCAGGACGCATACGCGATCTATACGCAAATTTCCTTGCTTCGTCATATATCTGAGTGGCGAGCTCTCTTGTGGGTGCTAGTACCAGACCCAGCGGATATTGTTTACGCTTGCCAGAGGAATTGACGTGTGGTGGTGGTGGAATTGGCCCACTTTCATAAATCTGATTTAATATTGGCACTAAAAAGGCCGCTGTTTTACCAGACCCAGTTTGGGCACAGGCCATAACATCGCGACGACCAATAATAATTGGTATCGCGTATTTTTGTACTGGTGTAGGCTTATCATAACCAGCCAAAGTGATGCTGTTCTTTATTATCTCTGTCAGCTTAACCTCGTCGAACTAGAAAATAAACAAGGTGTAAATGCGCATCACGCCACTAAAATAACTATTTTCATAATAATGTTACGGAACTTACAGATGAAATGTGTGTTGGTATGTTGTCTCCGGTAGCCTCAACCGGGATATCCTCATATTTACTAAAGTTAATACCAGTATTCCCAGTACCGAACAGCTCCACCTCCAGTCGCTCGTCTCTTCCAGTAGGAATTGTCCAATCATTCTCGGAGTTTCTTCTACCCCCCTCTCTATCGTTGTTCCATCCTCTGTTGCCGCCACTGCTGCCGCCCATTCTATGATCGTTTCTGTTCTCTTGCCAGCTGCCTGTGGCTCTAGGGTCTTTCCAACTGGAGCTAACCGGGCGATCGCGTTCTCGCTCACGTTCGGAATTCGAGTATCTATAGTCTCTTCCATTTTCTTGATTGGCACTACGTCTATTGCGTCCACCAAAATTTCCAAAGTTTCCAAAATCGACGTCGCGGGAATTACGTGGCTCTCTGAATCCTGAACCACCTCTATCCCCATCACGATCCCGTTCCCTTTCCCTTTCATGCACGCGATCACCTCCTCTCTCTCTTTCGGGAAATGATCTTGAGTTGGAAGAAGAATGTTGATCTCTGCCAGAAGGCGCGTTACCTACGAGTAATGAGTATAATTTTTTAATATCTTTTTCATCATCCTCTGCGTTTCTGGACAATAAAAATAGCATCGCCACGAGGTACCACTGACTCACAAAATTTTTCAGTAGCAAGAACCTCTATATTAAAAAATATTTAACTTTAAATTCAGATTAATCGAAACAATTCTTTTGTCTTATACGTGTATGTAAACAAAATTTAATCCAAATTTTTATAATTTAATTTTCCACTTCAATTTCAAGAATGAATACGTAACAATTCTTATGAAATAGCAAGTATTAAAAATGTTACACATTTTGATACTTACTTCCAGATTTATTTCGTAGGTGTGGTGGTACGTAGCGGTCCCTGCTTGGTTGGCGGGAGCCCGACAAGTCCAGACCAGCTAACTGAAATGCAAGACGTCTAATTTTAAAAATCATCATTATTTGTAATTAGTATCATTAACATGCTAGCCAATCTGGACCACTAATTGATCTGCTAAGGATATAATATACAAATACCACGTTAAAAATTCAATCGAACGATTTTAAAATATTATAATTATACGTACTGTTTATAAATACAAAATTATGCTAGTTAAATAAAAAAAAAAAATTCGAATATAGAATAAACTCTGAAATTTTGTTGTTACGATTAAACGGGCGATAAAAAAAAGAAAACTAAAAGGTATAGATATTACGTGTAATGCATCTAATCATGAGAATTTGAACATGGTAAAAAAGCAACGCGAGAGTGCGTCATGGCACAAGGCATGCTGTTCTCAGAATTGGTTGCGGCCATTACAAAGCTGTACGTCACAAACGAATCGACGACGATTCGAGTCTAGAAAATTTTTTATGTTGGAAAAAAACGCGGGATTGAATAGTTTGGAAAAATATAGGTTATGAAATTATGCGTACGGATGTAAGGTACAGGGACAGAAATTCAATGATATGGCAGAACAATGAAATAGTCAAACAGAAGGAAGAAAAGAGAGATGGTGGTTCGAAACAACGGTTGTCAGTAATACAAGACACTAAATCTTTTCCATATATTACCTGCTGCTCTAGACCTGATCCATTCTGGTTGGCTGCATTACTCATATTACTCCGCCTCGGTGCGTATTTTTCGTGGCTCTGCCGCAGAAGCTCTCTAGCTGTTTCTCGCCTAGGCAATCACCAAGCAAAAAATTTCAATTGTTCGTTCCTATTCTCTCTCCTTCCGTTCCCTGCTGATCTACGAACGAAACTTGTCGATTAAGTCGAGTAATTATAATTACAGTTTCTGCCTGTCTCTACTTCGATGCAAAGGAAATTCGAAGACTGGCTACTATGAAAGGCCTCTGGCCACACTTGACGTCGACGCAACAAAAATGGCCGAGCGCCGAAATACTGCTAGCAAGATGGCTGACAACTTATTTCCGGCGGATATTGTGAAACTGAAGGAGCACACTCTGCTGGATAATTTTCTAGGCGTTTATCGTTCCTATTATTCCCGTGTATTAAATTTCAAAATAAAGATTTATATCTGACCATGATATTGAAATGGAATCATGAACTCGGTTGTTACTCTCTTAATTTACTCTTCACGAGTACATATTCGAGATATCGATAATACACAAATTTCAAAGCGAATTATACAGCTACTAAATTCAGATTTTACCTAATACAAAATAACATTTTTAAAAACTAACTTCATTGTCTGGTAATTTTTTAGGTGGGATACAAATAATTTCATGCACAGAATAGTAATTTTTTTAGCATTTTTATTGTTTAAGTCTGAAAGTGAATCAATGTTTAATCTAATCGTCCTTCTTGGTATCTGTCTTTCCTCCTCTGATTCTTCCTGTACGACGTGCAGCAATAAGACCAATCTTACGACCAGCGCTAGTTCCACGTTTAACTGTCGATGCTTTACCAATGTGTTGATGGTTACCACCACCATGAGGATGTTCAACTGGATTCATAGCAACACCACGTACCTGTAAATATCAAAAGCGTTTCAAACACGGAAAACCAATGATACTAGTACCTGATAATTGTTAAATTTGCTCAGTAAAAAATTTTCAACAAATTATTCAGGTTTCAAATGTCAAAACATCATTGAGAAACATTTTGTTCGGTAAAACATTAAATATTCCATGTATTATTGAATATTGTACCTTAGGCCAGCAATTCCTCTTTGCCTTATATTTGTGATAAGCACGACCAGCTTTAAGAATCGGCTTATCGATACGTCCACCGCCAGCAACAATGCCAACCATTGCCCTGTTGTTCGATGGAATTACTTTTTTCGCACCAGATGGTAATTTTACTCTAGTTTTCTTTGTGTCAGGATTGTGAGCAATAACTGTAGCATAATTTCCTGATGCTCTGGCTAACCGGCCTCTATCGCCAGTTTTTTCTTCCAAGTTACAAACAATGGTACCTTCTGGCATTTGACCGACGGGCATTACATTTCCGATTTGAAGATTTGCTGTAACATACAGTTGATTTTTGAACGTTTCTGTTATTACAAGAAGCTCAACGTATGTTTCGCGCGATAAATTTTAAAGCTTGCAAAATTCATTTACCTTTTTTCCCACAGTAAAGGAACTGTCCAGTGTACATGCCTTCAGGTGCAATAAATAATTCTTTACGTGTTTTGAATTTGTAGGGGTCACGGAAATGCACAACAGCTAGAGGTGCTCCACGACCAGGGTCATGAATAACATCCTATAAAACAAAATAAATAACCATTTAAACAAATTATACGAAACAAATATTATTTTATGAAACGCATGAAGAATTTCAGAAAGAGCCTCTAGTGTTTACTCTTCAGTTGCTGTCAGAAGTAGGTGTACTAGAATTCATCACGGTTATATTTTGCGCTAAATTTACAGATAAAGGTTTTAATAAAAAAGATTATACAAACCTTAACAACACCCTTAATGTATCCATGCCTCTCAGAGAAATCCAGGGAACGAAGTTTAGGTGCTCCTTTCCTTCTTTTCGTATGTGATCTGAAGACAGACCCAGCGCCTTTACGCTGAGCACGAATAACTCGACCCATGGTTTAATACCTACACAAAGTTCACGTAAAATGTTTAATTATTTGATGATTATAACACTAAAAGTAATACAAAACGTGACACCATGTTAGTTGCACAATATAACCTTCAAATAAAATGATCAAAATGTAATACAATTTCCTCTTAATAAATTAAAATATTTATTAAAACGTTTAAAGAATGGATTAAACTTATCTAATCATCGTTTCTTTACAACGGATGCATCGTAATTTTACAAATTTTAGACGATTTTAAAAGGAAGAAAATCATATGCCACATACCAAGAGAACTCGATATCAAACAGAGACAGACGCAGCCGGAAGTTGGTCAATCGTGGAAAATTTAAGTTGGTTATACTGCGTACCCGCCAAAGTATTTGATTTAAAGCTACACACTTACATATTATAATCTAAAATATTTAACGTTAACTTTTAACGGTTAATAATTACTAATTTTTTTAAACAATTCACAGAAATATTTATATCTTGTTATATACGCATTGCTTTCATTTGTATATATTATGTACTATGCGTCGTATCGATAATTAATCGCCCCGAGTAATCGATTGACCGCGTAGTGTTGCATGGGTATTCGAAATGTACAGACGTATTTGAGTGAATTTGATTATATTATTTTTTACATTTTAAAAAGATAAAAAAGAATTGTTTGTTGGGTGATAATCCAGCTGCACAACCTCCAGTGGATGATTCAGTTGTTCATACAACAAACTATGTTCAACAAGTACGTAATTATGGTATAAGAGATCCAAATGAAGGATGTAACGTTTTTTCCTGACATTCGATTTGAACAGCCACCATATCAATATCGATTCCAAGTAAGCTATCTTTTTATGTATTACTTTAAATTCTCGCGTATTGAAACAATTTAGGTAATCGTGCAGTCTTAGTTATTAGTTAAATTAAATTATAAGAAATTATTGATGTTCAACTTGCAAATATTTTAAATACTGTGAAATTGGTTTGTGAACAGGCCTTACAGAACAACTACAGTCAATTCATGCAATCTTTTTAAAAGTATTTCAGAAATTGTTGATCATAGAGCTAAAACAGTTATAGATAATATTAAAAATCCTATTAGAAAATTAGACAAACCCCCAGGAAGTTTCTTACCAAATTCTACTACTCTAATGAACAAACCAAAAAATATTAGTGTCAAAGAATCTTTTATACTTCGCCCTTCGAACAAACTTTTTGGATAATAATTATAAAAAGTTGACAAGTCATTTATTTTGCGTTTAAAGTATACAAAATGAATTTAATTGCCAATTTTCGGTACATCTTGAAATAATTGCAGAATTTCTTCCACTTCTTCTGTTCTCTCTATTGGCAAATGCTCCTGATCAGTTTTAGGCGAACGACCATCGTTTTCCGGATTATGGTAAATTTCTTCCGACGTGTCCATGTTTTTGGTCTGATTGTCTTCATTTTCTTGAACAACATTCGGCAATAACGTTGATTGCGTTTCACTGTTTGTAATTTTTAATGTAGTATTTATATCTGGTGTCGATCTAGATTCATTCGACACTGTATCTTTATCTTGTACCGTGATTGTTACTTCTTTTTCTGTATTACTTAATTTATCTCCTACAGTTTCGTTTCTTTCGTGCGACGTAACTTCACTATTTTGTTCAGTACTCTGCATGCTAAAGATGTTTGTAATAGATTCAACAGAGTTATCCAAAACAGGATTTATTACTTTCATTTTTTTATTTAACGACGGAGCTGTATCCTCGTCTTCAGTATTTTCATCAAGTTCATTTCCTAATGTCTTAGCGCGTTCTATATCTTCGCTATCAATAACAAATTCCTTTTGTATTGATCTGAAAAATATTTAATTTATAATCTCCAATAAATTGGAACAAGATTTGTGATATTGATATTTTTATAGATCTATGTTTTTGTAACTTACTCCACTTGAGATATTTGTATAGATGGTGCCTGGGGATGCAGAATTTTTTCAAGTTCTGCTAATGCTATTTTAGCCTCTTGACTAATACATACATTACTATCGATCAAAGCCATTTCAAATATTTCTAGTGAATATTGTGTGGGCAAAGGCACCAAAGAATGTGGATTCATTTGAAAAGCTCTCAGAACTCTTAATAACAACAATCGGCATTCAGGTGTCTCTTTATAAAATTTCTGGTCAACAGAGCTCAAATAACAGTCATATAGAAGAGGTATTATAATATTTTGTACCGTCTGAAAATAAATATCATTACTGTATCAAATATTGAATTTAATAATTATATATAAATGCCTTACTCTGAAGAATGTTTGCTTTAAAAGAGTTCCACCGTTCAAAAATATGTTTTGCAATGTAATAAGGCTCTCTTTGCACGTATCTACATCTAGATAATTTTCTTTGCTAGAGCCTATTTCATTGTTTAAATATGTACCCTTTTCATATTGACTATCTCGAAGACGCTTTAACGCTCTTTTCGATAAATTATTGGTTTTCTGAATCTGTAACAAAAATGATAAAATATACTTACATTAGTGGTAGTTAAAATCGTATTTCGTTCAAGTAAAATAAGAACTTACAGTTAATAAAACACGATCTCTTTCTGGGACTATATCTCTTAGTATAGAAGGAAGGTATTCGTTCGCTACTGTTTCTATGCCTGATAGTAAATTAGTATTTACAAGCCAAGATGTAAGACATTTGTAAACAGATATTCTTACATTTCTGAATGGTTTAATACCACTAATAGTTATATGATTTTCGGAAACAATTTCTGTCCATTGTAACGTTTGAAGGAACAATTGTAATATTGTTGACCCGAATGGTATTAACTGCTCCTTAAATCTAAATATTTCAAGGCAATGAATTTAATTTTTAATAGTTTTTTACTGTTCGAATTTTATTCTGTTCTTACCCATCTATTAATCCATTCAAAACATTGAACAAAGCAATATGCAATTTCGGCAAGATAAGATATAACATCTGTTCTCTGATAGAATTTCGATTCTTCAAGTTTGAAGGCTGTATCGCCAATCCTCTGCATAAGACTTTCAAAATCTCATGAGGTAATACTGAGTTTTTGTTGCCAAATCCACTATAAAATAGAATTCGTACATATAATGGTACTTCTTCAATTACTATGCATATTTGGATAATATCCGCTTACCGCAGCATGCAAGATAAATAAGAACATAAATTCAAAAATCTTTGTTGTTGTTTAAAATAGAACTGAATAATATTCTCTTCCGATATATTTGGTAATTCTAGTTTATCCCAAATGTTTATATTTTCTAATTCTATCAAACTAGAAAATAACTCATCCATTATAGTATGTAAACTGTTACAAATAAGCGCATGATGATACAACCAGTTAGTGTAAGTGGGTTTTGAAACTGGTGGTTTGAAAGAGCGCTCTGTTGCCTTAGCTAGAAGCGCGTAACACTTTGCGCTAGCATGAACTAAATTCTCTTGGGTGGAATCAATTTGCAATAATATTGTTTTTCTAATGGATGTCTGAAAGCGTTCGCAAACTTCAGGATACTGATGCAATAACACAGCGATCAAATAATACACCGGACCAAATATTCTCTCCGTATCTAAATTTCCAAACGCGTTAACAAGTTGTTTTACATTCTGCATAGATACTTGTTTCTGTATTTCAGGAATGTCTTTGGTTCGTATAATTAAATGCCCAAGAATTTTACAGGAAATACTTAGTTCTTGCGGAACGCTATGAATGCTTTCTAATACTTGTGTAGCTTTTGACATCCATAATATACAATATTTTGAAAGTATATCTTTCGAACATTGCGACAAAATTTTGTCCAAAAGTAACAGACCGTTGCATCGCGTCTGTGATCGATTTAAATAATTATTTATAGTCGATATAATGACATTTTGTGCTTCATCAACCTGAAACCAGAAATTATGTTTGCAAGATACGGTATTAAAATAGTAAACGATGTATGGCTCTAAAATGTATGGTTAATTTGAGAAATTTCTTTTTACCTCTTCTATGTTAAATGGTATATCTCCGTTGGAGCATATTAAATCTTGCAAAAGTTTATCATATTCTTTCGAGCTATGATCGTGAAAATTAATTAATTCCATTATTGTTGCCATTGTTTTGGTTCTGTAATGCTACACGTGCTTTTGATAATATTTCTGAGGTTAGGTATGCAATTGTACGAGTGTCGGACGAGAAAATGCATCGGTGAACGGAGGAAAATTGTTAAATGTATTTTTTTTTATGCGGTGTAAATTTTTGTTTAAAGTACTATAATTGAAATGTAACTTTAAACAAATATTATCCTTCGAGTATAAAGGAAAATATTTCGTAGATACTTTATCCTACTATGGTATTCAGTGGAATACTGTTCAAAAATTTGAAACGCTATCTGCTTAAAAATACTATTTTATATGAACAATATAGAGTCAGCGACGATCGATATCACTGTCTATATCTATCTATGCACCTTTTTAAATATCTTTCAATGTAGCTTTATATCTGTGGCATAGATTTTGAATAAATTCTATACAGATCTGCATAAACCGCGGGCTTAGAGGTAGTTAAAGCATAGTAAACGTCGTGAATCTTTTACGCAACGCGATTGGCCTCAATCGCAAAAGGAATTATTATGTAATTTTGCGGTGCACTCAGTGGTGACGGTTTAGATATTTCTTCTCATTCCATGGATGCATACGATCACGCAAATGATCATTCCCATTGACATTCTTTACTGTATCGATCGTAATGATAGTCTCTTTCACGCTGCAATATAACAAACACTGTACGCAAGGGATGATTTATACATTTTTCGTTTTTTTCCAGCATTATAATTCCCTACATTTATCCAAACAGAAATTTAAAAGGAAGCACGAAGAAATTGAAAATTAAAGCAGGAATTGAAAGTAATGGAAGAGGGAAGGAAAAAATGTACAAAGTTGAATAGAATAAACAGGTATATTGTGTTACATTATTTTTTAATAGAACGCTTTTTACATCGAATAATAATCTGTATTTATTATTGTTGTGCTCCAATAATTAAAGCAGGAATTGAAAGTAATGGAAGAGGGAAGGAAAAAATGTACAAAGTTGAATAGAATAAACAGGTATATTGTGTTACATTATTTTTGAATAGAACGCTTTTTACATCGAATAATAATCTGTATTTATTATTGTTGTGCTCCAATAATTAAAGCAGGAATTGAAAGTAATGGAAGAGGGAAGGAAAAAATGTACAAAGTTGAATAGAATAAACAGGTATATTGTGTTACATTATTTTTGAATAGAACGCTTTTTCCATCGTATAATAATCTGTATTTATTATTGTTGTGCTCCAGCGCCTGTAGGCGCCGCTAGAAATCAAAGGGTTAAATCTCTGGTTCGCGGAAGTGTATGCTGACAGATGCGCGCTGCCGCGAGCGTTCGTTTGTCTCCTACAACATGTAGTCTACGAAGAAGATTAGAAGCGCGAACGTAGCGGTAGACTAAAACGCGATTTCAAGGGCATGGTTAAACGACGAATCGAAAAACGCAGTGTGGAACGAGCTTGTTTCGTTTCGAACGCCTGCGTAAACATGCTAGAAAAAGCGTTAAGTGTTTGCAAATAAACGCAAGAACTGTTTGGACACGGCAAGCGGCTAGACGTTCGCGTGTAAAACGAAAATGGAGTCAGGGGTATTCGCGATAACAGCGGTAAGAAAAAAAAAGGTGTACGAAAGAAAACAAGGATATTTCAATTACACTCGCGCGCGTATAGAAAGGCTCATGCACAGGCGCGAAACAGTGTTGAGCCCTAACGCCTACCGGCCATCTCCTTCCTGACCAGGACAGAGTAGTCTTCCCCCTCTACCCCGCTCGGTTGTCCCACCCTCTTCGCGTCAGGCACCCTGCGTCCTTCCCCTTGGTTTCAGGACCACGGTTCTACTCGTTCCTCCACGGATCAGTTCCCCTACCTACCGGTGTCCAGTTATGTTGTCGTGGCGAACATTGCTGGGGCGACAATTCGTTTGGACTTTTGTGTCGCGAGCGATCTCGTAGCATCGTTTATTTATTAACAACGATACGGACCGCGTCTCACGGCCGATCGTGCCCGAGCTACCGTTAAAACCGGAGCGAACCGATTCGCGACACTCGCCGATTTTTCGTTCTCGTTGTCAAGACCATTTACATTCCAGACCCACGCGTGGTCTCCAGCACGAAAGATCTGGGTGCTTGGTGAACACGTCCGCGGGAAAACGTTAAGGGCCCAACGTCGTGGATTGGGACCGCGGACCGGTAACCTGTGAATCGATCGACCAGGACGTATTCAGCGAATCGAGCTGGCATGGAGCGCGAATCGTTCGTGGAAAATGGACATTAGAGAGGTATGTAAGTGCAGAGAATAGCGGAACGGGATCTATGCTCACTGCCATATTGAAAACGGCCGTTTTACGAAGGCGGCCGACACGGGACGGTCAGGGAATAAACTTTTTCGTGGCGCGATTCGTTTTCTGCCGTTAGTGGCTTCTTTGCTTCCTTTACGGTCCGTGAGAGAGTGGACCCACCTTCTGACAGGTGGAATGCGGGGCCCAACATAGCCGTGGGGCCTGACAATCGCGATTGCAGCGACGCGAAGCGACTCGTTCGGGTACAGTGCCGGAACATACAGCGACGGACAAAAGTATTCGCTCTGCCAACAGTTTGTCATTAAATATGGCAAAACCGATGAACATTCTTACTCTATTTTCATTTTTTGCGTTCTTCCATTTTTAAACTTCGATATCTTTTTGGCATTGTTCCAATCTGGATTCAATCGGTACAATTTGATCGCGCGAATTACACGTTGGTAACTCTGTTTTTTAAAATAGGCACTAGCGTATGCGTTTCCAGTGCCATGTTCTGAGCCCCGTCATAATTATTTCGAACGTCGTGTTTGACAGCGAACACAATGCGCTCTGACACCATTTTTTTTTTCTTTTTTTTTTCGATAGATCGACAGACGAATGTCCTTCGTCGCGAGCCAAATACTTTGGAACTTGAGACTTCGTTCTAGTCGGCAGGTGTCCAATTTTTATGACTTTTTTGCGATCGTTTAACCAACTTTGTAATTTATTTCTATCGTTTCTGTTATTTCGCCACGGAATACGGATAGATCGTTCGAAAATTCCCTCGAGCGACCAGTTTCCCTATTAGATCGGGTAATGGTGGTTTAACAGAGTGATGAAACATACGATACACACGTATTCATAAGTTATCCGAGATTAGGCGCGTCGAACGCGCCAACTTGTTACTTGCCCAACGAAGGTGTTATTTATTTACTCCGGCTCGTTAATGATATTCGTATGGTATCGGAAGATTCTTGCGGCGATTATGGCAAATATGACCCTAATAGAGTAACATCCCAGTGGGTAGTTTTACGAGTTCTCGCGTGTTAGTGTACACGACAGTCCGTAATGCTAAATAATATCTAAATGCGCCATAACGTGCACCCGTTCTAACGTTCGAGTAATCTACACTTAAGTGTGAATTATCTTATCCACGGCGATTACTGCATGGTCAATAAAGAAAGCGAACGATTTTCCAAGTACACCGGGCGGTGGTTTCGAGGTCTCCGGAAGCTGTCGTTCGTTTTAAACGTTCCATTAAGCCGTTTGGTCCGTTTAATTAATCATCTCACTCGTAGCCTCCGCGGATCCTCGTCGCTATTAATTTGACTTTCACTCGATCGCACTACTTTCACCGAACCTCCGGGAACGGAAGACAATTTCGAAACGAAATATCACCAACGATAATCTTGGTTCTGCCTTTGTTTCGCGAAGCAACAGGGAAATGTTTCTATGTAGGCGTCGAAGCCATAGAAGTGTAGGGGGATAAAGGAGAAAAAGTATTCGCCCATCTTATTCTTTTTCCATCGTCGTTATACGAAATGACTCACCGAGGACTGCCAACGCGAACGAAATTACATTGATTTTGAGAAAAATCTGTGATCGTAAGTTACAGAATAACCTTTGTCCCGTTTTAGATCAATCTCTGTCTATAGAATAGCTCTCGATCTCGATCAGTGAACGATGACAATTCGAAGTAGGCTAATGACTATGGAAATCAGAGTACAGCCGTTTAAACATGACAAAGTTAGCAGAGGCCCGAAGGTCTGAACGTCTTGTTCATCGTATCGTGATAATGACAGACAAGCGACAAATTAGGAGTTAAAAACGATACGTAGGTCAGTATCTACTTAACCTATTTCGTCGATCGAGTAAAATGTATTTCTTACGACCGCACACGAGAATATCACGTTCCATTACGAGCGGCGATAATCTGTTTCCATCGCGGCGATCATAAAGCATATTTAAGTCCTGTTGTATGCGCAACGCGTTACTCGGTGTTTTAACCATTTAGAATACCTTAAGGTCGTTTGCATAAAGCAAGAATTTACAATGGGTTGCAGCCTCTGTAGTGTCCTTCGCGAAAAGATGAGGCAAGGCCGGGCGTAATGTAAATCTACGGATCGACTAGATAAAGAATTAACGCGGCCAGATAAAAAGTTACCTAATTTGTCAACGAAGACATTCGAAACAGTGAATTACCTCGAATCCCCGTGGAGTGCTATTTTTTAATAAAACAGAATGATTTAGACTGTTTTTGTCTCGAGATCAAAATTGCTACGTTATTTTCGAGCTATTCGAGACTCGAAACTTAATTGGAACTTAAGTGTGTCTCGTACGTCCGTGATTATTGGACCAAAACGAGGCGTTTAGCCGGAAAACTTATTTGTAGCGAATCCGATCGGACCATTTGGATCATTTCTCGTTTTGTTTCGCGTCGTCGTAGCTGCCACCGGGAACATAGATCCCGCGAAGTAGCACTTCGCGATAACGACCCACGCCTTGAGGCCCCGCGTATCTTGCCTTCCTTTATCGAGCATCGTTTTATCGTTCATAGCCATCTATTCTCATATCCAGTTCATAACGAGCGGCAATGCCAGTAATAACAGTTGGACGGAGATTTTCTCTGCCGGGAAACCGTCGACTTCTTACATTTATCTTCTCGTACTCGGATTTCCCCGAAATTCGCTGGAATCAAAGCGTCAAGGGATTTTGTCAAACAAAAGTCAGCCAATTTCTATCAAAGGGAACAAAACTTCGATTGTTTCGCGATTCATGAACGATGTCCTCGAACTTTTCGATCAGACCTTGTAGTTGACTGTTAGAGTATGTTCTCTGATCAATATCTGCGTAAAGATCATGTTCCTAGGCTTTGTGCCCAGGCTTATTGCCTTGTATGTCATCGTCGCGCATCACGCAATGCCAGTTCATATTCTGGTACGTATAATATGATACAATAGTGGGAGCCAAAGAAAAAATGTAGCACTAGTGTTATTTATCGTTTCCTTTCGAATTGAAAATAACATTAAGAGCAACCAAAATGACTTCATTGAATGCCACGTTGAACCAAATAGCAATTTAAAAAATATTTGTTGACATTAAAGGTCAATGAAGATTGACAAGTAACACTGTCACACTATTATGAATTTTCATGGCAACAAATGTCACGACATCGAGTGTCACGTGGAAGCGAATCTTCAGTTTTTTAAATAAGTGACACGACGTTCAATGTCAAGGTAGTAACGACTTTCTGTCATGACTTCAAAGTTACGACTTTACGTCACGTGAAAACGACCTTTGCGAATTTAATTTTAGCTTAATTAATTTTGATGCAAACTGAAGTTTTGCATTAACCAGGCCACTTTAAGGACGCTTCTTGCGGATCGATGGAATTATTTAAACGATGGGGGATGGAAATTGTCCTGGACGATCACAGATCATCCTCGTAACGTATCGATTTATTATCGATAGGTAGATCCCGCATCGATCATACATGCTCGTAAGGAATCATACGTTATCTTAGAAGCTGCACAGTTAGATCGTTTATGTGTTCCCTGATGAGTCTTTTATCGTAAATGCTATCTTCCACCATCCTTACCATTCATATCCTCCGGTTGGTGGAGAGGAACGACCGATAGCGTTCAAGAGTATTAATATAAATAAACAATAAACTTTTCTTTAATCAATTAATGATTACGTTCCAGTCAATTCGAGCAACGAGCCTCAGAATATGACTTTAAAACCGACGGTCAGTCGTTTATTTATATTGAACTTTCGATTTTGCTCTTTAGAAAATTAAAAATTATAATTCACCGAATAAAAACCATGTTTGCGTCGTTAATATTTAGTCGGGCTTGGACCACGCTTAGTCTACGAAGCGGTATTGAAACTTTTAGTTTGTTCCTTCTGCTTAAAGAATAAAAAAAGTCACACGAATTGTGTCACATCCGACAGGTGGTCGAAGAGCAACCTGGACGTTAAAAAACATGACACACATGCATTACACGCTATGTCACTCAAACCATATTTAACAGTGATATGGAAAATTATATTAATAACTATATTAGATGTACGCATCGTCTCTACAAGAAACACGTGTTATCGTGACTCGTGTATCATTTTATTTGTTTTAATTATTGGTAATAAACCATTAGAAACTTAGATTATTCGTGATATGCTGCTGAAAAATTTACTTTCTCGAATTTTTTTTTTTTTAAAGAAATAAATTAAAACGGATCAAAGTATCACGGATGTTAAGAAGCACGTTAATTGCTGCAAATGTCAATCCATTTGATGAAACAGGAATATTTATTTGTACATTATCCTATATATTAATTGTTTTTCGTGAGCAAGAAACTAGGTTCACCAATTGTGGATGTAGAGGACAGAAGATACGAAGGAATCGTATCTTGTTCGTCGGGCATTTTGAAACTCGACCGCCACTAGGAAGTACTATATTCCCAGTGCACGTAAAAACTCGAAGACAATCGCTTCCTGCTTCGCGATGTGACATTGCGGTCGATCCGGTAATCTTAGATAATTTTCGAAAGATACACGTTTATCTCGAGTACGTACTTTGGATTTTTAGATATGCATGGAGTATCGTTCATTTTTTAACAGTATTCTTTCAATTGTTCCGTACAGGTAGCTTGGAGAACTGACCTCGGTCGAAGGAGAGCGCATCGTCGGTGAATTAGTTTGTCCGATACCGAGCCACGTGCTGTCCGTTTCACGTGTCGCGACTGGTTATCGTACAGAATCTATTATGATCGATGACACTTTGTAACCGCGAACGTGTTTATGGAACCTCGTAAGCTGTTGCCACCGAGTCGACTCCGGAACCATTTACATTCCGTTGCAATTCAATGTTGTTAAATTACCAAACGATTTTAAAAAATACACGATTCAGGTAAAATAGAAAACAGTGGCAAAAACAGAGTCGAGACTTCCCGTGGAATTCTTTTGCATTCGATGTACCACGATCCAACCGCCATTGCGTG